ATAGCTGTGTGTTGGTTGCATCATGATGATTGCAATTCCAACAGCTCGCGTTGCAATAATAAAAAACCGCTGCGGTTTTTTTACAAAGAAGCGTCGAGCAGAAACTACTTACATGTCCCCGTTGCAGCTACAGTCGTGCACCTCGTTTTCGGCCCCGGTATGGCTTAATAACCTGCACAATCTAATGATTGGGCCACATGCATTGCGCAAATAAGTTGCCCATCTCCTTTGGACCAAATAACCTCAAGGAGGGATGAAACGCCGCACTTCCGCCACGATGTATCAGCTCAATCACTTCACCATACAACAGCTCATTATAAATTCTGTCGCAAAAAGCCATAGCACGTCGCCCGTCCGCCTATTCTACGTTGAATCTCGCCAATAAGCAAACAATGTGCAGGAAGGCAGCCACAGAGCCATCATGGACACTGTCTCTGTTTTACAAAGGCGAGACGTATACCCCCGTCAATATTTATACAGCGATGAAGTGGTGCTCAGAAGGTTGGCAAGACGTATCGACAATGAGCATACGAAACTGTTGGAATCACACTGGTATTGTGTCGAAGATGAATTTATGATTTGTACTTAATTAAGGTAATACAAAGTAGTACATTTGGATTCCATCTGCTCCTCTATAAATATTCGCAGCTCGTAGACTCTATATGGTCCACCCCGCCGAATACGAGGTGCACGACTGTATTTCAAAACTTTAAAAGCTTTTTTTTCACGAGACATTTAAAAAATAATTAAAAAAGAAAATGCAGTGGGCATTATAGACCCATTTATTATAGTACTTTGCCATTAATACTGTATTTAAAAGGAATTTCCATCGGGCCACGTAGAGACAATCCTCTTTGAAGTGATATCCCAAATAGTGATACCCTCTTAAGGAGGTTAACGTGATTCTGTTACAGTACCGGTACTTAAAAGAACATGCCCAAGTCAAAACTACTCTACTTAGTGATACAAAATCGACGATTATTATTATCGAGAGGTCCTTAACTAAAGAGAATTGAGCCACACATTTGTCAATCGGCTCGTTTACAACTACGCTCTCTTGCTGTTCGATGGACATCAGGCTTTGCTACTGCGACATCATCATGGTCCTCCCCTTCAGGACTCTTACTCTGATACGTAGTATTCACAACTCTCGTAACCAAAACCGTGATAATTAAATATTGCAAGAATCAATAGCCGAAGATTACTTGATATCCTTTGGGAATTTTGAAGGTCCACCCTTTTTAGTTTCTGGGCGGAGTCTGTACTGGACTTAAGTACCAGCTAAAAAGGCAACATGGTTTTGCACGTGTTGAGGCATAGGAACACGCTGCACGAGTGGTCTGATTTGCAAGACAAGATAAAGGCCAACGACGCTGACAAAAATTCCCACCGTACTCTTGAAAGTTCGGTGCATTCACGGCCAAAACTTTCACGACTCCAGCATTGGGAAAACAGAACTATACACTTAACTGTAAAGTACCATGGTACTCTGGCAATACCAGGCCAGGTCTGCTTTCAAGTTGCTGAAGGAAACCGCTTTGATCAAGCGCTTAGGGAAATGTTTGATCCCGTCGTAAACTTAACGGCATTTTTGTTTTCAATAGATCGCACTGCGATCATCGCAGCTCGTCTAAACGTCCAAGGTGCAGATCCTCGTCCTATCTACATCAAACGAATTCGGCAAGCAGCGATTGCCTGGGTCCTCGAAAGAGGGCAGAAAAGTGAAGGTTCAAAATCTACATGGGCACATCCAAGTCCCGCGTTTATAATAATATACTTTAACGCATTTGCCTTACTTTCTACTTCTTGCTACCGGTTCTCTCAGTTCACCAGCCCCCACCCAGCATAACCCCCAACGCCTCACCTTTTTGTTTGGATGTTCAAACTGAGAAGTCCCAGCACCGAAACCGTGGCCTTTTAGGATTTGGGACACTTTTCTAAAGCTGTTACAGAGACGGTGGTGCTCTACCATCTGGATACCCTACTTTCCACGCTCCAGGTGGAGTCCATCATGGACTGTTCATGAGCGTGTCGAGGAGCTCTACATCTGCGCAGGAAGCGCAACACCGCCGACACAGCTCAAAGTCCAATCATTCGGCAATTTGCATCGGCGAGCTCACATCGAACCTTCCTCACATCAAGCACAATTCTCAGTGTCTACCACAAAAAAGATGCCTCGCTGGAGTTCGATGCTCCTGCCAACGATGGCTCTGGCCACGTTAGTTCCCACCCAAGTACGCGCTGCAGCGGCTGACCAAATGGACTTCGCCGCTTGCCCGGTGCGCCACAGTCCAGAATATCACTGCTGCGAGTACTCGGAGACCACCAAGGTGCTCTACACCAAGTACAACCGCCCGTCGGGCGGCGAGTACGAGTCGTACTACGTCGACGGTTGGAACGAGCAGCGTCAAGTGAACTACCCGTACACTATGTACCATCCTACGACGCAAGAGTTCTACTATGACGACCCGAGCACGATCTGCCGAGTGCAGGCCGTGGCCAACACGGCAACGGGCGTGCTCACTGAAGAATTGCAGTGTGCCGACACCAACTCGTCCCTCGTGGCAGCGTCTCAAGACAGCACCGTCTTCTGGACGTATGCAGCTAACGTCCGCAACAACAACGCTACGTTCCCCGTTGGTGCCACTTGCTACAGCATCATGCTTCGTGACGGCACAGTCGACTCGGATCTGATGGACGCATGTATATCCACGTCTTCAACTGTCGAGCCTCGATTCACTACGTTTACGGAGACTCCGTTGGTCATCATCTACCTGCTGTATCTGGCCTTCTTTGTCATCCTCGGAGGCTGGACGGTCTACAAAAACTTCATGCAGAACGCAAACAAGTCGGTAAACGAGATGAGCAAGAAACTCATTAACACGCCCCAGACGCCGTCGCGTGCAGTCGCGGGCAATGCCAACGGCCGCCACACGAGTGTCCGTGTCTCCGATACTCGCATGCAGATCGAAGCTGCCGAGGGTATTCTGCAAACGGGTTTCTCCCCTTCGTATCTAGGCAACTTTGTCTTTGGTTGTGTGGTGGTGGCGTCTCTCGCATTGAACGTGATCCTCATCATAATCATTTGCGACTACTACGGCAACTTTGACCCTCCGCTTTTCGACACGTCTGAGGACAATGCTCTTGTGTTCATTATCGTGTGGGTCATCACTTCCCTTTGGTTTGTCGTGATCGTGGCGAAGCAGGACATCATCTTCAACTTCTTCCGTCTCCGTGTGCCACTCGACAAGTGCGCGTTCGTCTACATGCTCAAGCGTGACGAAACCGAGGTATTGCTAGCTGATCGATCGGGTGTGTCGGACTTCGTAGCTAAAGTCGAGAGCTTCTTCACCCCCAAGGGAAAGATCAGCGGATACCGTACGACTGTTCCGGTGGTGGAGGTAGATGGACTCCGAATTGTCGAGTTCCAACACACCCGATACGTGTACGAGGAGACCGAACAGCGCTTTGTGCCTGGTGTCGTCGCACTCGGTCGCACCTACGACGATATGCAACAAGAAGCCAGCGGACTATCGGATACCGAAGCGAGACACCGAATCAACACGGTCGGATCGAATTCCGTTGACGTGGAGATGCCGTCGCTGCCAGTGTCCATGGCGCAGGAGTTCTTCACTCTGTTCTACATCTACCAGATCATGTGCTACTACGTCTGGTACTACTTCACGTACTGGAACATGGGGATTGTCATGACGGTCGTGGTGCTGGGTGCCGCCGTGGTTAACATCTACACGCAGCGTCAGATCCAGTCGTCGATTGTCAAGATGACCCGTTATCGCACGGATGTGACGGCGTTCCGTGCCGGTGAGTGGCGAGTGTTGTCCTCTCCCGATTTGGCACCTGGTGACCTGGTGAAGGTATCGGAGAACTGGGTGGTGCCGTGCGATATGGCCATCGTGAAGGGCACGACGGTGTGTGACGAGTCCATGTTGACCGGTGAATCGATGCCGGTGCAGAAGTTCCCGATCCCTGAACGCAGCTCGGAAGTGTATGACCCTGAGAAGGGCAGCAAGAAGCACACGCTGTTCGCTGGTACTCGCGTCTTGTCTTCGGGTCGCAATGAGGAGATTCTGGCGATTGTACAGACAACTGGTGCGCATACGACGAAGGGTCAGTTGATTCAGTCGATCCTGTTCCCGATCCCGATGCGATTCAAGTACAACGAGCACCTGAAGGTCTTGATCGGCCTTCTTCTCGTCTACGCTGTCATCGCGTGTATTCTTGTGATCAACTTCTTGTTGAGAAACGGCAAGTTGAGCAACCGTTATGCCGCATTCTGCTACGCCATCTTTGTTCTGTCGTGCGTCATCAGTCCACTCCTCCCCGTTGTCATCACGGTTGGCCAGGTGAACGCCTCCCAGCGTCTCGAAAAGCTCGGCGTTTTCTCACTCAATGTCCAACGTATCACTCTCGCCGGTAAGGTGCGCATTTTCTGCTTCGACAAGACCGGCACCCTCACCAAGCAGGGACTCGACTTCCTCGGCGTTCAACCGGTTAGGGACGGCCTCTTCACCCCCATTGTCAACGATGTGAAGGACGCATCGTCGTCTGAAGATCTTCTGTACGCCCTGACGACGTGCCACTCGGTCGGCTCTCTCGAAGACCGTCTCGTGGGTAACGAAGTGGAGGTGCGCATGTTTACGGCCACGGGTTGGGAGCTGGTCGAGAAGGAAGGAGAACAGCCGTGTGTGAAGTCGAGGGTGGACCCGGGACTGGAACTGGAGTTCATCAAGCGCTACGACTTCGACCACCACCGCATGTCCATGAGCGTCGTGGTGCGCAACCGCAAGAGTGGCAAGTACTATGTGTTCTGCAAGGGGTCGTACGAGCGCATGCAACAGCTGAGCACACCTGGCAGTGTGCCGGCGGACTACAAGAGCGTGGCCGACCGTCTCGCCAAGGACGGATGCTACGTTTTGGGTCTGTCGTACCGCGAGCTGCCGAGCGACTGGACGCATGAGCAAGTTGTCGAGTTTGCCAACGACCGCGAGGCTGTGGACGAGAGTCTGTCGCTGCTGGGTCTCATTCTGTTCCGTAACGAGCTCAAGGACGACACGGCCGACGCCATCGCCAAGCTCAAGGCCGGCGACATTCGCACCGTCATGATCACGGGTGACAACGCCATGTGCGGCTGCTACATTGCTCGCCAGAGCGGCATGGTGTCGTCGAGCTCTCGTGTGATTCTGGGTGAGATGGTGTCAACGACTGAGTTCAAGAAGTTGGTGTGGCGCGACGTGGACTCGGAGGAAGAGTATGACGTGCCTGCGGTGAAGAGTTTGGTCGAACGGGGCGAGGACGTGGAGCTGGCCGTCACGGGTGTGGCGTTCGACTACCTGGTGTCCATGGGCGAGATCAAGGGGTTGTTACTGCACATTCGCATCTACAGTCGCATGACACCCGACGGCAAGGTGGAGTGTGTGAAGCTGCACATGGAGACAGGAGCAGTGACTGGTATGTGCGGCGACGGGGGCAACGACTGTGGTGCTCTTCGTTTCGCGCACTGCGGTGTGGCTCTGAGTGACGCTGAAGCTTCAGTTGTGTCGCCGTTCACGAGCAAGTCGAAGACGATCCAGTCGGTGGTTGATCTGTGCCGTGAAGGCCGTTGCAGTGTCGCGACGTCGTTCGCGTCCGTCAAGTTCCTCATCATGTACGGCCTCATCGGTTCGGTGCTTCGGTTGTTCATGTATTACCATGCCATCAATCTTTCACAGTGGTGCTGGATCTTGGTCGAGGGTTTCATGCTGGTTGGATGTTCATACGTCATCACGTTGTCCAAGCCACTGGATGAACTGAAGGATATGCGACCGACGTCGAGCCTGATTGGACCTACCACGCTGTCCTCTATCCTCGGACAGGAGGCGATCAACATCATCTACTTGTGTTTCAGCATCCATCTGCTCTCAAGTCAAGTCTGGTACTGCCCCTTCTCCCCAGACAATGTGGATGTTGCTAAGTGGTGGCTCATGTCGGATAACCACCTGGCCACGACGCTTTTCTTCTCGGTTATTTTCCAGCAGCACATTGGAGCATGGGTCTTCAGCTTCGGCTCGACGTACCGCCAACCCATCTGGAAAAACTATTTGCTCATCGCGTTCTTCGCGGCGGTCGGAGCGCTTGACCTGTACATGCTTCTGGGTGAGCCGAGTATCGTCACCGATCGCTTCCGCATCTCGAGCGGCACTAACGTCGTTGGACTGCCGGACATTCCAATGCCCATGAGCTTCCGCCTTAAGTTGTTTGCCATGCTCCTTGGCAACGTCTTCACGTGCATCCTGTTCGAGTACTTCGTGGTACTCGGTCCTGTCCGCTCGTACTTCCGCAACAAGTACCATAAGGACCTGATCCCGATGAAGAAGTAAGACAGCACATGCCCTGCGGGGGTATTAATTGTGTTCCGTGTTGTAGTGCACTGTACTTAGTCATACAATCAAACCCATCACAGTGCTAGATCATCATTACGCGTGTTACTCCTGCTCCGTCCGAGTATAACATGTCTTAATAAAACTCTCACATGGTCTAGCACTATTAATACGTTGCAGTAGCACGATAAATTTGTATTTCATGTATTTCGAAAGTAGCTCGTCATTACGTGTGACTGGGTACTCACGCACCCTGACCATCCAAGTAGAATACGCATATGTGCTGTTTCATGGTCTGGCGCTCGGAAACACTATTAGGAACGCTGCACTCTCTCCCAGCACCAGGTAGTCACACTGAGTCATTCGACAATCTGCTTTATCAAAATGACATCTCACACTGTTTCCGATGCCTCTCTGGTACTTAGTGCTCCTCCTAGCCACACTACATGTAGCCAGAGGTCGGAAAATACAATACTGTACTGTATTGATGGCAGATTTCCCTTCAAGAATGAGCACTCCCAATAATAAAAATTGCCGCAATTCAAATATATTGGAGCAATATCTAGCTATGTCTTGCCCTTCCGTGTACTCTTGCACCAGCCATGATCCCCGTGAGTATGCTGGCCCGATAGTCGACTGGCCAAGCCACGCCAAGCTCCTCATCATTAATAGTCGCTATCATGTTCTGTGGTATGTCTGACGACGGCTGCCAGGTTAGTTCTTGAAACCCCACCCAAGAAACTAAAAAGTAGTCTTGCCCGTCTTGACTAGTTTTCTTAGCGTATATACTATCAGCAACATATAAGGCGGGGCCATCTTCGAATTTTGAAGTTTCATCTTCTGAGTCCGTGTTATTCTGGAGAGCCTCCAAGGAAGGCCGGCACCAGGGCAATTCAGCTGTTTCCTTCTTTAGTTCCTGCAAACTTTGCTCCAGGCTGTCAGGTAGACTTGTATGTTTCATCTTCTACTGTCGTTTGACGTTAGCAAGTGCGAGGAGTTGCTTGTTTCGTTTGCTTTACAATTCTTATCTAGAGGACGACACAACACTTAATGATGTGTGGTGATTATTCTCGACAAGATAGCGAGTCAAGAATAGTTTTCTTGACTGAGCATCTTGTTAGAATATTTGTTTCTAAGTAATTCATCGGAATGATGTAGCAACTAATAATTTGTGCTATTAGTTGAGATTAGAGTACCCTGTCCCTCCAGTTTGTTTCCGCTCGTTGCCGCAAATATTGCAGCGAAACAGCCCTTGACCTAGTATTGTGAAGAAGTAGGCGGCGATTTGCTTGTTTAGGACCATCGTAGTTCAAAAATGAAGTGAAGTTTGA